TGGAGGCATGGCTCAAGTGGTAAAGCACTGGATATAAGCAAGCAAAGTAATAATAATGATGATGATGATGATGATGATAATGATGATGATGATGTGTTGGTTCAATTTGAAAATTTCTTCCACGTAAGTGCTGTAACTTTGACCCAATTTGCTTTTATAAATGGCTCAGCCAGTTTATACCAAGGCATGTATACATTTAAAGATCCTAAGATATTGAGTAAAATCTATTTTGGATGAAAGGACGGTAAAGATCTCACAAACATGGGGTCTTCTATGAATATGCTCTCTGCTGTGCTGTCCTTTGCTGTGTACTTGCAAGAAATCCAGGCAGGCAATGCGAAAGGCATTAATTCTCAGTATTTTAGAAAGGTAAACTCTTCCTAATGCTTATTCTCAAGTTAATGAGTCCTGTGAGTTATTATACAGAGGCTACAAAATAACAAAAGAATCAGACCTAAAATTTGCTTTGAAGAGCTCTAGAGACATCTGTCATTTGACCAAGTCTTTTAAAAAGCCAAGAGCATAATATTGAAAGTAATTCAGTAGAGATTTTTCTGTTATAAGTAAGTAATTGAGAGATTTATTTATTCTCTGTGGAAGAGGGGTATCTTTAAACTTGAGAGAAAGACCTAATTGGACAGAAGATCTACAAGCTAGCTACAGGCACACAGATGATTGTGCTATCACTGAGCAGATCATTGAGCAGACCTACGTGGAGCTAAATAAGCAGCAACACAGGATGGGCACAGGAGACATTATTTTTATGTTCCAAATCTTTGCTTGCTTTACTGGACTCCTTTAATAATCAATCAAAGCTCTCATAATAGAATTCAAGGCTGAAATGTTGGACAGCTGGCTAAGGATCAGTTACTCTACATTGTCGAATAGAGAGAATGGTGCCGAGGATACATTCTCTAACACATGGCACTAAGAACTTGGCTGGGAAAATTTAGCATTCTGGGTCATTCCATGTGTAAGTTGATGACTCACATTCTTTTCCTTTGTTTTACCTCAGCTGACATAGAAAAATGTGCACAGAAATAAAGTGCTCCATACATGTTTCTTACTTTAATCTCGCCAAATATATTCTAATATGACAGGATGTACAAAAGCAAAAACCACAGATGATTGATTCATTTGCATGTACATGTGAGTATGGATCTGTTTATATATGCATATACACATACACATATGTATTTTATTGAGTGGATTAATTGCTTAAGTGCTATCTTAAGCAGGATTGTAAAAATAAACTTGGAAGTCTGTTTAAGAGACTGGATTGGCAGTATTGTAGTTGGATTGCCAATCATAAACACATAGGCATTTTTCAACTGAGAGACTTGTAAGAGCAGAATTACTATGATGCATTTGTTGTCCTGTCTTCTTTTCCTGTCCTAAGGTTTTATGTCACTTGCCATTGTTTATAAAGCAGCCACCTGCTCAATTATATTCTTGAGTCTCTGTCAAAAAACTTATCACACAAGTGAAGGAAGGTTTGTAGGCATCATTTTGGAACAGAAGGGCATTTGAAACCAAGAATAAACTATATGCTACGGTAAACAAATATTGTGCTGACTTTTGCATAGTCACAAAACCCAGAACAGATTAGTCAAAGAACTTTCTGGAAGCTGACAAGCTTATAAAAGCAGTCCTAAGGAAAAATTTTCTGCATCCTGTATATATAATAAAGTTACAGTGTGTCACTTGCTGTATAAATTGTCACTATTACCACTTGGAGCAGAAAAAACTGTACATATATAAAGATAAATGTGTGCATAATTTCATATTCCCAGAGGAAACTGAAAAATTATGTGCATTAAGAAGTGTTTTAATTGCAACTGGAAAAATGGCATTTAATGGTTTATGATGTGGTTCACAATCCTATAAGGGTAAATCAAGTAAAAAGGCTGCTTGGTATAATGGAGAAAAAAAATTGACCTTTGGAAATACCAAGGCCTGGGTACAAACTCTGTCATTTCCTAGACCTTCTCAATTTCTTCAAAACTTGCTTTTCCTATCTGTAAAAGAGATTATATATATGTACAGTATATATCTTCTCTCTTTCTCTATATATAGATACATAGTTATAGAAAATAGATAATAGATATTATGTATAGTATGTTATATATGCAAAATAATAATACTATCTGTCTAATATATATTGCAGAGTTATTTTTGGGTCAAATTATGAAGTCAAATTATGAATCAATTAGAACACCAAATGTAGACACTGTCCATTTATGGATGATCATATCAGACAATATAATGAAGCTCTTTCAATACCCTTGAAGAGTTAATATGGAAATTCAATATACGTATTTTCAGTTCTCAAATTCTATGCTTATCTGACCATAAGAGACAGGAAATAAATCTTCTCTGAAGATAAACTAACAACAACAAAAATAACAAAAAAATCCTACTCTAGAATGTTGTAGAAACAATGTTTGGGCTTCAGAGCATTTCCATATATTATGTGGGAGAGGGGGTTTGTTTGTTTTGTTTTGTTTTTCCCTGTCCTGAGGCTTGAACTCCATGGCCTTGTATGGGCTCAACATTTTTGCTAACAGCTGGCACCCTACCATTTGAGTAATGCCTCCAGCCTGGTTTTCTGATCAATCTCTCTATATTTTTGCCTATACTCATGAGAAATCTTCATTAGTTTTTGTAGCATTTGCTTTAAGAAGTAACAAGCTCAGTGCTGGCATGCATATCATTATTTCACTGCCTGAAATATATACCCTACATTGGAAGACCAATTCAAATATTTCTCATTCACAGAACCTTTTTGTGCTTATTCTAATCCGTGGCTTTGCATTTAGCCTGAGAACAGCTTGGAGGCTGTTTGTGGACAACAGACAGTTCTCCCTTATTTAGCACTGCTTGGCAGAGCAAGTTCTCATCCATCATTATAAATGGGATTGCCAATTGAAAATGTTTTCTTTCTTTACTACCAGCAAAACTTCCATTTCCATCTCAATTGTTTATTTAAGTGACCAATCTTTTATCATTCTGATAAGCTAGTCTTGTGGAGACTATGAAAACTCATTTTCTATCATCAAAGGCCCCCCAACAAAGACCTAGTACATTTGCATGTGGCTCCATACAGACTTTCAGGGCCTTAAACACACCATAGCCATAATATCCTCTTGAGATGAGCCAGACTAGTGAAAGGGAGATGATTTTGCTGGGCTCTTCCCTTTGTTCTCCAGACCCACCCCAATCCCTCCTTTTCAGTTCTATCCTTGGAAAGCAAGCTATAAAATCCACTCACACAATTCCCTTTCCATTGGCTTCTACTTTCCATTTCCCTTTCCATTTGGCCAACAGTGTAAAATCATAGATTCAAGGTTTGGATGACATTGATACTGGGTATCTATTCTTGCTACCTCCCTATCAGGTGCCATTTTATAATACTCCCAGATGCTAGTAAACATTTCCTCCCTTTGTTTTCTAAGGTCAAAGAATTATGGTAGAAATAGATCTTCTGCTAATCTTAGTCTGCTACTATCTATTATTGGTTTTGTGAAATCCAATCTATGCCATAGAGAACAGCCCCTTGTTAACTCTCTCAAATAATACAAGTTTGATCATGCCATTTGGTTCCTGCGAGGACCCAAACTAAGTCTTGAATCAACCTCTAAACATCAGGAAAATAGCCACTCTGGGCCTGAGTATCATGGCTTGCTATAACAGAGCTATTACAGGAACAGCCGCAGTGAATAAACAGTAGTTTTTTCACTAGTAAAGTGTAAGAGCTGCTGTTCTGATCTCTTAGGTGGTAGGAAACCAACTATAGTCAGTGATCCAATCAATCAGGGGAAAAGGAGGATTTCAGTAAGAGAATGAAAACACGATTGAGCACTAAGCCAGAAGATAAATCTGGTTGAATATTTTATAATCTTATACGAATATCACAACTCCACTGAAATTTTATCTTTTCTGCTCCTGTCATCACTGAAACACATCATTAAATAAGTAGGGAGAGATGAGAAAGATTGAATTTCAATGAAACAGCTGAGGGAAATGAGTATACATTGCAATGAACAGAGATAGCACTGAGGCACAGAACCTCAATAACTGTATTCTGGGTTATGCTTTCTTACTGTATTTTATATAATAGATGTGTAGGGGGTATACATTTATTTAAATATAAACAATTCAGGGAGTACTAACATCCCTGTTAATGTGTGATTTGCCTTATTTTTTCCCTAAGAACATTTATATCAAAAAATCAACAAGAGGTTAGAGACTTGACTCAAGTGTTAGAACACTTGCCTAGCAAACACAAGGCCCTCAGTTTGCACTCCAATACTGAAAAGAAAAAAGAAAAGGGAACCAAGCAGCTAAAAGTATTAGCCAGAAAAAGCACAAATCTAGAAGCACTAGATTTTCACTCAACAATGAGCTTCTCTTTTAAATTTAAAAGCTTCCTCTAAAATATTAATTATCTGAAGGTTTGGTCCACAGTGCAGCATTGTTCAAGGGGTGAAACTATGAGAAAATGATTGAACCATGAGGGCTCTGATCTCCCCTGTGGATTAGTCCACTAATGGTTCAAATGTGATGGGCTATTGGAATTGAACCTTAGGAGGTCACTGAAGCAAGTGGGTTCTTGAAGGCATGCCCTTGGCTGTATGGCTTGTTCCTGGCCCCTTCCTCTTGCTCTGTTTCCTGGCCTTCATAAGCTGAGCAGAATTACTCCACCACATACTCTTCACCATGATGTTCTGCCTCACCAAAGCCCATATACAACAGAGCCAGTGACCATGAAGGGAAACCTCTGAAAGCATTAGCTAAAATAAATCGTAGCTCTTTTAAGCTGATTTTTCTCAGGTATTTTGTCATAGCAATGAAAAGCTGCATCACACAATACTAAATTACATATTTCTTCTGGTGATCTCTCATCTTCCATAGTCCTAAAAATCTTCTCTCTATGGCAGTGTTCTCTCATTTGCCCAAGAAAGCCTTTTACTTTACCTTTTTCATGTACTTATACTCACCGTTCTTAGGTTATTCTTCTCTTTCTCCTCTTCTTCCTCCTCCTCTTTTCTTCCTCCTCCTGTTCCTCTATTCTCTGCTTCTCTCATTCAAGGACACCTCAAAAGGAAAAAAAAAATTTTTTAAAGTTCAGCTGAAAAAGGACATGGAAATCTCATCTATATTCTATACCCATTTCCAGACCATAAAACTCCTTATTGGCAAAGTGTTCCTTGATAGTGCCTAAAATAGCCCCTTTAACTTGTGCTTCAAACAAAGCACATATTGAATGTCCTTTTTTTTTGTTTCTTGTTGTTTGAAAATGACATGTAACCACAGACACTAAAAGAGTAATTCTTATCTTTTTTTCTCTTTCTTTAAAAATGGGTGCAAGGACTCTTCTCACTAAAAGTGGCTAATAAAGACTTGACTATTTTGATAAAAAAAAAACAAACCCATCTATGGGAGGTAAGAGGACTACAGACCCTATTTAATATATGTAGTATGCCAGATAGAGAGCACACTGTAGTCCATGCTGGCTTCATAACCAATTATGTCCAAAGACTTTGCATCCATGGAATCACAATGCTAGGCAATTGTTCTTAACCATGCGTGATAATCACTACAGCAGTGAGCACAGGCACTGTTTCGGGGCCTTCACCTCTTTCCCACTCACCACAGCTGCCCACCACACTTTGTACAGGACACTCAGTAAGTGAATTTGAATAAGGGTGACTTTGCTCTGACTCAACATACTAAAGTCCATTCCCTTCACTCCAAAACAGCAATTTCCATTTACCCTTTGGTGCCTGGGCTTGGGCAGCAGGTAATTATCCAAACTCAAGGGCTGTGAAGCCTCAAATTAGCACATTTACTACAGTATATGATTCATGTTCAAAGAACTCTCCCATCCGAAACTAATTAACCCTCCACACATGGCTGTGAGGTAAGAGGGGTGCAGTCATGCCAGGATATAAGGAGGAAATTGGGGATGGGGTGGTTACAGGTTGTACCAAAGGTTATTAAGGTTGTTTTCAGGGGAATGAAGTCATCATTCAGCAATTCTACATTTAGTTTGCAATTCTACATTCACACTCTGGAATTCGGATCTATAAGCCACATTTTGCCTATCTTTAGTCCTACAGATTTGGGGAAGGTGTAGACAGAGCCTAGCAGATCTAATCATTTCAAAAGGAAGGAAAAAAGCATTGCCATTTTCCCCTCTGCTAAACACTACTATGTATTTCCATAATAATTTAGCATCAAAAGTCACTGTCCTAGATCCTTTCCAGTGAGATGTATTGCTAAGTTGATTTGGTATTATTGCCTAGAAACAAGTGGACATTGAAGCAACTTCAATTATCTTCTTGGTGAGCACATGGTAAGGCTTATTCTCTTGTCCCCAAAGCCACATCCGCTTGCACTGTCAGCCTTAGGGCTAAGGGTCACTGCCTCTCCAGTCCTGTCAACTGCTCAGAGCAAAATGATGGAAAGCCTCCTTGACACACTTGACCCTGACCCTTCCTCTCCACAGCCCACTTCCTATCTCTGATCACCTTCCCATAGCAAGGGTAGACAGAAACATTTCACCCTTCTCTACTGTAGGCCTTTCTGATTTTGCTGGAATAACCAAACTTTAATCATAAAGACCATATCCATTTTCCCTTGGCTCCTTTTCCTTTTTCCACCTGCCCAGGTTTCAAGCTTTTAGGTTTCTACCATTTCTTCTCCTGACTATGCTATTATAGTGTATAGCATACTTTCCTTAAGGATCACTCTCAAGCTCACACTGTCAACTTTCATTTCTGTATTGCCAGTTTCCAAGTCACCAGGCCTCTCTTCACTTGTGTTGAAACCTCAGTTTTCTGCCATTTTTATATAACATGAAGTGAGTAGATAACTTAATATTTAATTTAGGGGATGTAGTCCTAGTAGATATTAAAATACTCTAACACTGTAATCATTAAAACAGTACAGCACTAGCATATAAATAGTCAAAGGGAACAGAAAAGAGACCAGAAATGGACTCAAATTCATGTGGCCATTTATTATATGGTAATAGTAGCATCTGAAACCAGTATGATAAGGTTAAATTCTAAGAAGTTGAATTGAGACAAGTAGATAGTAATGAAAACACAATATATAACTTACTCAAAAATTCACTGAAGGTCACATTGTGGCTCAAGTGGTAGAGTAACAGCCTAGAAAGCCCAAGGTTATGAATTCAAACCCCAATACCACAAAAATTCAATTTAAACAAAATAATTAAATAAGCCTTATAGTTTATGGTTATTGACATACTATTTGGTTAAAGCCCAGTGGTCTGGTAGCTTGAAAAATCTGAACAGAAAGACAGTCACTGGTGGCTAGTTACACTCAGAAGGTTGAAACCTAAGCATCATGGTTCAAAGGAGTAGGATATAAGAGTCCGTGAGACTCTTATCTTCAATTAACCAACAAAAAGAGCCAGATGTGGTGGTGTGGCTCAAGTGGTAGAATGCTAGCCATGAGTAAACAAGCTCAGGGATAGCTGCAGGCCCTGAATTCAAGTCTCAGAATGGTAACTAAAAATAAGAAAGAAAGAGAGGGGGGGAAGGAGAGAAGCAGGAAGGGAAAGAGAGAGAGGAAGAAAGAGAGAAAGAGAAAGACAGAAAGAGAGAGAAAGAAAAGGGAAGAAAAGAAGGAAGAAGGAGAAAAGAAAGAGTGAACAAATAATACTAAAACAGCCTTGTCTGACTTTGAAACGCATCATTTGGTAGGACCTACCCAACAATCACCATCCTAATTACATTTTACAAATTTCACTAGCAAAATTCCCTGTGATCTTGGTAAGTACTACTCACAGTCATGAAATAAAGCAAATTAGGAATGCAGATGAGGAAAATAAAGGGAAAGGGAACACTGACTTCTTTCAGAATAGAAGGTATGTCCATTCCAGTAGGCTGATTTGTTGAGTATGAATAGCTTTTCTCTCGATACAGGTCAATATGTGCTAAACTGCACACCTCAAGGTCCATTTCTGTCTTGTTCCCCACTCCAAACCCCAGATTCCATGTTTAGAAAGACTTACATAAACTGTGCATAAAAGATAATAGTTACCTATTAGAAACACATAATTGCCTATGAAAAATGTTCCACACAAAAATAACTAAATTATTATAACACATATAATTCTGAATAAATGCAAAAAATGTTATACTCATTGGACCATGTTGTTTTAATATGCTTCAATGAATAATTGTTTTAAGCTCTTTAAAAATATTAGAAATAGCTCAGCACTTCCTGGGACCAGATTTGAGATTCTGAGGTTCCCCAGGCAAGACATACCCTGTGGCTGCAGCATAAAAACCTCACTGGTCAGAATGCACAAGTATCTATATCCCACTCTCAAACCAAAGAAGCAGTAGCTCCCTGGGCCTATGGATTAAGGGTAAAATTTTCTGATCCTCAGCATAATGAATATGTGAAATATATTTTTCTATTCTTACTCTACATTTCCTATAGAATCAAGTCTTAAAAATCAACATATAATATTGGGTACTTTACTGTGCCTCCGATTCCTCCTATAATAATAAACAATGATGATCTCAAGTGAGTGAGTCAATTTGTCTCAAACTCTTGGAATCATGCCTAGAAGACATGATACATTAATAAAATTAGCTACCCACCTGCAACATCTTAGCAAGAAGCACAGTTAAAGCCATTTCTCTGGAGCCAGTTGTCCAACATTATCTCCTGAGTAGCTATGGAATGCATCCTGTTACCATTTTCTTTGGACTAATTAGCTGAGGTACAAATGGAAATTACTTATTTTCATAACTTCAACTTTATTAGTGTTGAGTGATTTACATAACCCTGCAGCTAGGAGGTCCCAGAGCTACATTCCTTTCTTTGGCAAATTCATACATCTTCCTCCAAAGGCAGTATTTTTTCATCAGAACTTGTCTGAGTAATGACTTTGGGCTAGGCTGGGCAGGGAATGTTAATCACTTTTCCCACCCTCAGTACAAGGGTTTGAAGTCCTGGGAGCAGATGAAGACAAGGCAGGGAGAATAAACCCACCCACACCTGGACAGCATAAGTCACAGGAGATTCAAGGTGGTTTTTTTGTTTTGTTTTTTAATGGTAAAATAGTTTCTCCCAATTAGACTCCAGAATCTAAAACCTCTCCATCTCTATTTTCTTTTTCTTTTTTTGTTGGTCATGGGACTTGAACTCTGAGCCTGGGTGCTATCCCTCAGCTCTCTGGCTCAAGGCTAGTGCTCTACCACTTGAGCCACAGCACCACGTCCTGCATCTTTGTTTTTTGATACAAGAGGAATAATAAACACAATATCTAGAGAGAAGTAAATGAGAGAAAACAGAATACAGTCCCCAGTTTCAGCGGGCATTTACCTTCTTCCTGCTGTGTCTCTGTTTAACATTTGTACAGACTAAAGAGCAAGATGAACTGGGAAAAGATATCCCAAGAAAAGATAACTTAGAACACTCCAAATCATCTGCTTTTAGAGAAGAAAATGGAACAGCACCATGGGAAATGACACCTTTGCCAACTTCATCATCTTCGCTCACAATTTCCATCATTGTACTCCTTTCATTCGAAATGCACATTTAAATTAATTTCATAAAGTAGTCCCACTTTAACACTGTAAGTACACTAAACCCATTTTTCAACCAATAGTTAAAGGCAATCCTTCTGTTTTTCCCATTGCTAAAATCAAGTGCCATTTCTCAGTGACTTTTACTTTGCATTATTTCACTGATAATCTATTGAGGGCTTGGGAAGTGTCAGGGAATTAACAACATTAATTCATGTAATTTGCACACCATCACAGGGAGGTGGAACTCTTGCTATCTCCACCTTACAGCTGAACAAACAAAAGTTCCAAAAGAGTGTAAATAACTTGCTCAAAGTTACAAAGCTAGTTAATCAAGTAGAAAACTGAAATTCAGGTTCAATTCTAAACCTCTTGGTTTAAACTCCTACACTATACTGACTTTAAAACTTCTTAAATATGTCTTACCAAGAGGAATATGCTTAGTTTGTGATAGTCTATCACACAT